TTTAAAAATATACAAACAGGGGCCAGGGACTTAGCTCAGCGGTACAGCGCCTGCCTGGCAAGCGAAATGTCCCAAGTTCAATTCCCAATACGAAAAAAAAGAAATGAAATAACAACCACAGGAAGCAACAGTAAGAAATATTACTCTGGTAGCAATAATATAGATCAAGAATACATTGAAAAAATTTTTCATTGCGTTTTTTTTCTTTTAATTCTCACTATGGATTATCCCCACTGGGAGCCAACTAGACTGAAAATTGGGTTTGATTTGAAAAAGGTTCAGAACAAGCTGATGAATACTAATTCAGATGTAGCCTTTAAATATTGAGGAATAAAGTATCCTTGATCTCTAAGATAAAACAAAGTAGATAAGCAATCTAGCAGGTTTCAAATATCAGAGGACATTTAAGGTACATATAGTCATGAATTAACCAATTTCCTTAAGGTCCCCAAGTACTTTATATTTCTAAAGGCTAAATAAGTTTTTCATATTTCTAAAACCTCAGTCAGTTTTTCACATTTCTACAAAATCTTTGGAATAACTCATAGAAATAAATATTTAGTTTTAAATAACAAAAATTTTAAAGACATTTTTAGTTAACTAGGTGTGGTGGGGCATGCCTGTGATCTGACCATGTGGGCAGAATGAAGCAGGAGAATGGAAAGTTTGAGCCTAGCCTGAAAAAATGCTCAATTAAAAGGCAATGAGATACCTAAATACCTAAGGTGGCCTTGTGTTTAGTTATAGAAACAAAACAACTCAGGGCATATACACAACAGATATTAACAGCAATTACCTCTGGAATGTGATATATTATGGTGGAGCTTTGATTTCTCTTTTTGGTTCTATTCTATGATGTTCATAAAATTAATATATATTAGTTTTATATTAAAACAAATATAAGTGAATAACACTAGAATAGATGTTGGCTTTTAAAACAAAATAAATGCTGAGCGTGGTGGTGCACACCTGTAATCCCAACACTCAGAGGCTGAGGCAGGAGGACTGCTGGGAGTTCAAGGCCAGCCTGGACTACATAGTGAGTTCAAGGCCAGCCTGAGCTGCATAGCGAGACCCTGTCTTGAAAAGAAAAAAAAAAGAAAGAAAGAAAAGAAAAACCAGCTATCTGGGGATGGTGGCACAGGCCTGTAATCCCAGCACTCTGGGAAGCTGAGGCAGGAGGTCTGCAAGTGTGAGCCCAGCCTGGGCATTTTAGTGACTTATTGAGACTCTGTCTCAAAATTTTAAAAAGAAAAAAAATTTAATTGGTGAAGTAGCTCAGTGTGAAGGCCCTGTCTCAATCCCCAGTACCACAAAAATAATTAGTAAAAAACAAGCTGTCTCCTAACACCAAAAAAGGATTATTCAAAGCTGCTAAAGAGCACATGAGAGCTTGGGTGGCAGCTGAGGACTTATTCTACAGCTCTCCCTACACAAGCAGACAAAGTGAGCCCAGAGCAATTCATCTGGTTAACATCCTCACCGCTGGCCCACAAGATCCTCTTCTGCCTCACCCCTTCTGAGCTTTTCTGTCTCGTTCCACATCTGTTTCATTTCCTCCCTCCAGCTTCCTTCTTCCAGCCGCCTATTTTTGTTGGTGCTGGGGATGGAATCTAGGACCTTCTGCATGCTAACCATGCACTGTCACTGAGCTACACCTCCAGCCCCACAGCCACCTCTTGTCCATCTCCTTTCTCATCTTCTGTCTTTTCCTTTCCTTTATCCCTTTGCTTTTCCTTTTCTTTATCTCTCCTTTCTTCCACTTTCATTGGCCATATTTGAGAACCAAGGTGAATTTATTTGTTGTATCTTCTGAAAATTGTTTGTCTTCATTGTAGAAAATTTAGAAACTACAAATAGTGCTCGCTTCAGCAGCACATATACTAAAATTGGAAAACACAGGTAAAAGAGAGACTGCAATCCTATCATCCTCAGTCATGAATAATCACTAATTATATTATAATTCTTACTTATCACATTTTTTGTTCAAATATGTCTATATTTTTATTTAAATGTTATACTATAAATAATATTTTATAACCTTTTAAACCTATGTCAGGATATAAAAAAACTGCAGGGTATGGTGCACACGCCTGTAATCCCATCATTCTGGGAGGCTGAGACAGAAGGATCACAAATTCAAGCTCAGCCTGGGCAACGTAGCGATTTAGTGAGATACTGTCTCAAAATGAAAAATTTTTTAAAGGGGCTGGGGATGTAGTTCAGTGTGCATATCTGGGGTTCAATCCCTAGTACTAAAAAAAAAAAAAAGGAAAAAAGATACATAGTACAACTTTTGTCGTTGCTCAGTACTATACTCTATGGTTGTACCATAATGTGTTTACAGTTTACCATAATTATATTTACAATTTTCAATTGTTGGACATTCATTTTGTTTTCAAATTTTTGGTATTATGAACAACCCCACAAGGCACGTACTTAGGGGTGTGTGTGTGTGTGTGTGTGTGTGTGTGTGTATTATCTAATAATTCCTTCAGCCTAAATGCTTAGAAGCTGAACTAATACCCAAAGGGCATCGTAAATTTTTAAACTTTTCTCTATTTATTGCCAAATGGCTGTCCAAAAGGTTTGTATCAACTCTCCCTCCTGCAGTATAACAGGCTGCCTATTATCCCAATCCTTATAAAAACATTGGTATCATTACTTTCAATCTTTGTTATATTTTTAATATAGATTCATTTTTCTTGTTCTTAATTTTAAAAGCAGATAATCTGATATTCAGTATATTGATCTCTTCAAAACACTACAGTAACTTGCTTTCTACTCAGGGGTACCTGTTGATAATTTTCTTTTTTCTGGGCCAGGGCCCCTGATAAAATAAAGATACCCACCTCTGTTCTACATCTTTCCTTGCTTCACTCTGTCACTGTGGCCTTGGACGGGTATTCCTCTAATCCATCCCACATTCCATTAATGCATTTCAGAGGGTTTTCTATCTTAAGTGTCAGCTGCAAAGTATGAGTTCATAACTGTTCAATTTCTGCCAAGATTCCTGTCAGTGTCATCGTCATCATCATCCATATCTACAATCATTATACAGTTTCCTTATAACTGTACATCAACTGCTCACAAGCATTCTAATTGAAATGAAGTTGGGAACCCATGAATCTAATCTTTGGAGTCAGACAGGCATGTATTGTAATCCTTAACTGCTTCTGAGTTCATTTAACATAATTGCAAAGTGCTGATAATAACAGAGGATTGTTGTGAAATCTAAATAACATATGTAGAGCTTCTAGTACAGTCTTGTTATTGACAAGCAAAATAACTCAGAGAACTCAAAGGATTTGTAAAAGTCTTATCCAAGCCCAAGTATTTTGACCCTAAATCTTTTAATTTGTTTATTTAGTTAGTTAGTTAGTTTGCAGTAATGGGGATTTAACATAGAGTTTTTGCACTGAGCTACATCTCCATCCTTTTTCAGGGGATGTGAGACAGGATCTCACTATGTAGCCCAGGCTGGCCTTGAATTCACAGCAATCCTCCTGCCTCAGCCTCCCAAGTGCTGGGATTACAGGCATGCAACACGATGCTTGTCTTCTGACCTTAAATCTTATTGATTCTTTTTAAATTATGAAAAAAGGCATAGAGAACTATATAGCGAATGTCTGTACCCATCCCTTTGCTTTTAAAAGAATTACAGAATCAAACTGAAGCCAGCCTCCTGTGTGTCCTTCCCTAGACTTATCTCCCTTTCTCCTTCCTTCATCCTTCTTCCCCCCCACCCCAGGTAACCACTAATTTCAATCTGGTGTGTATTATTCCCATGTTTCTGTACTTCTATTCTATACTTATGTATCTGTGATCAACTTTGATATTGCTCTACATACACGGTTTTCAACTTTATATAAATAGTAACATATAGTGCATATAATTCTGGTGCTAGCTTTTTTTAACTCAATAGTAAAAAACTTTAACCATGTCAATACACATCTTACTCCATTTCTGCTATAAAAAATACTTAAGCCTGGGTAATTTCTAAAAAACAAATTTATTTCTCACAGTTTTAGAAGGCCAGGAAGTCTAAGATCAAGACAATCAGCACATTCAATTGTCTGGTGACAGTTTCCCTATACTTCCAAGATGGTGCTTTCTTGCTGCCTCTTCCAGAGGGTCGGAACATTTTTGCCCATTCTAACATGGCAGAAGGTGGAAGGGCAAGAAGGCCAAATGTTGCATGAAGCTTCTTTCATAAGGACCTTAATCCCATTCACAAGGGAAAAAATCCTCATGACCTAATCACTTCTTAAACTGAGACTATCTTGATACCGTCACAATAGTTATTAAGTTTCAATACTTAAATTTGGAGGGGACACATTTAAACCATAGCATTACATGAAGCTCTAGTTCATTTATTTTAACTTGTTTCATATTTAATTATATGAATATTCTATAAATTTATTACCCATTCTGTTGATAAATATTTAGAGTATTTCCCATTTTACATTCTGGCAAACATTGAAGCTAAGGGCATTCTAATATGTATTTCCTTGTAAATGTGAGCAAGAGCTACTGTAATGTAGTAGAATTCTTAAGATATGAGCAAATTCAATTTTACTGGATAGTGCCAGTTCTCCAGTGGTTGAGTCATTGTATATTTTCACCAGTAGTGCATAAGAACTACAATTGCTCCACATATTCATGAACACTCAGCATTGTCAGATTTTATAACTTTTGACAATTTGATGGGTGTGAAATGTAATCCCATGTGGTTTTAATTTGAATTTATCTGATTACTAATGAGACTACACGTTTTCATATGTTACTGGCTATTCCATTTTGTCCTTTTGCAAAGAGCTTATTCACATTCTTTGAACACTTTTATATTAGTAGTAGTAATTAGTGTTAGTATTTAATTATAATTTATTTAAATATTTATATTATAATTATTAGTATATTATAGATGAATGGAAGTTCTTATTTATTTCAGATGCTAAATTTTTGTTTGATATATGAGTAACAAATATTTTCTCTCTGGCTTTCCTTTTCTCTTTCTTTTAAAACTTTTAACATAAAGGAGATTAAAACTTTTACTGTTAGACAAATGTATTACTCTTTTTCTTAATGATCGGACTGTCTTGATTGTATTACATTGCCTCTCTTTGTCTTCCTGTGACCCAGTTAAGGTCTCCTTTTCCACTCAGGCCTGACAGGTCACTCTCTTCCTCCTTTGCCTGCAGTGTTCGTCATGTTGACATGGGCTTTTCGCTATGGCCGTGATGACTTGGATGTCATTGGTCTGACATTCCACAGAGATCTGTATGTACAGACTCAGCAAGTGGCTCCAGCTGAGCTCAACAGCCCCCAGGTTCCCCTCACAGTCTTACAGGAGCAACTGCTACACAAGCTGGGAGACAATGCCTACCCCTTTACCCTGCAGGTACTGATCCCAAGTCCTGGGCAAGGTTTCAAGGGAAGATTAAGAGAGAAAGCTAAAGAAGAACAGAAGAGAGGAGTCCCTATTTCTTCTGTTCACTGATCTCATTTTGGTCCCCTAGATGGTTACCAACCCTCCCTGTTCAGTGACACTGCAGCCAGGTCCCAAAGACTTGGGAAAGGTGAGATCTGGGTTCTGAGAAAGAGGGTGTGCTAGTCAGCTTTCCACCACTGTAACAAAATATCTGAGATAATCAACTTAAAAGGAGGGAAGATTTGTTTTGGCTCACAGATTCACAGGTTTCAGTACATGGTCTTGTGGCCTAGCTGCTTTGCATCATTGTGGAAGCATATGTTAGAGGAGGCCTGTTTAACTTGTGGTGGCCAGGAAGCAAAAAAAGAGGCAGAAGGGGGCTGGAGGAGTCCCAATCAATATCCTCTTAAAGAGTACAAAGTTCCTCCAACCAGAACCAACCTCTTAAATGTTCTGTCATATCCAAATAGTGCCACAGGCTATCAAACAACCCTTTGACACATGGGCCTTTGGGGATCATTTTTCATATCCAATCTCTCCCAAAGGGGCAGACAGGTAGTGCCAGGGAAGAAGAACAGAGGTACAGATGGACAAGACTAGAGAAGTAGACAGCTAAGGGATGGGGCTAGGCATTTTCTTATAGGCCCACAGAGAAAGGAGAAACAGCATTGCAAATGAGTTCTCTTTGCCCCATCCTCTTTACAGGCTTGTGGGGTTGACTTTGAAGTGAAGAGTTTCTGTGCTGAAAACCTCCCCTGAGGAGAAAACCTCTAAGAAGTATTCTTGGTCCTCTCCCAAAACCCTGTTCTTAAGCTCCTGCCAGGAACCAGATCCTGTTCTTAAGACAAAAGCAGGACTACTTCTAACCTCTATAGCACCATACCCACTAATTCGGATACCCAGTTTTGAGTCTTCTACTTCTCTTCTTCACTCTAGGGCAGGAGTCAGCAAACTTATGTAAAGGGCCAAAAGAGAAATATTTAGGTTTTGAGAGTTACAGTTTCAGTTGCAAGACTCAACTCTGCCATTGTAGAACAAAGCTGCCACCAATCCTACATAAATAAATAAAACGTGGCTATGTTCCAATAAAATCTTATTTATAGATTCTGAAATTTGAATTTTACATAATATCCATGTGTCATGGAATATTGTTCTTTGATTTATTTCAACAATTTACAAATGTAATAACCATTCCTAGCTCACAGGCCATATAAAAATAGGCAGCAGGAAAAAAAATAGGCAGCAGGCCAGATTTGGCCAGTGGACTATATTTTCTAAGCCTCAGTCTACATACCTACATTGAGAATCTACAGGAGTTCTCTGAGGGAGCCTTTCTCCTGTCACTGTACTCAAGCATAGACTGGGCTATGGGAGTAGCATGGGGAGGTCTGTGGTTCCAAAAGGTGATGTTCTGGCTAACTTCCTGGTCCCTCCTCAGAGACTCTGTGCAGCTGGTTGTCCGGAAAGTGCAGCTTGCACCCTTGGAGTCAGGCCCTGGCCCCTATGCCCAGACCATCCACCGCTTCCTTCTGTCAGCTCAGCCCCTACAACTCCAGGCCTGGATGGACAGGGAGGTTAGTGACCAGACTTTCTGCCTCTGACCTGGAGACCATCTGATACTCTTTCTTCACCAATTTCCTCCTTGAGTGGGTAATGATGGGAACCAGTGCAGCAAAAATGTTAAGGAAATTCTAGGTCTTGATCTGAACATTCTTCCTCCAACCTTGTGATTGGCTTCTCCTCCTGCTTCAGGTTCACTACCATGGAGAACCCAGCTCTGTCAGTGTTTCTATCAACAACTGCACCATGGGCCAGGGATTTAGCTCAGTGGTTTCGCCCCTTGCTGTGCAAGCGCAAGTACCCAAGTTCAATCCCCGGTAAAAAAAACCAAACCAAACCAAACAAAAAAAAAAAACAACTGCACCACAAAGTCATCAAAAAAATCAAGATTTCAAGTGAGCTTCTTTACTTATAGCCCTATACCTGGCCCCCAAATTACTGATAGCTTTCTTTCTAATACACTGCTCCACTTACCTGTCTGTATTAATTTTGGTTTTCCCTCCAACACAAGCTTATTAAAATATATATATATCTTTGCCACTGAGCACATATTACTGAATCATATATGGGGTGCCCATGTATAAGATAGCATCTGTGAACAGTGAGCAGGGGTTTTATGGATGGCTCACTGATTATAGTCGTGTGCTTTTCCTGGCTTGTTCAGTTGACCAGATCACAGATATTGTTCTCTAGACAAGTACACCAAGACTGTGTTCATTCAGGAATTCACATGAGATGGTGCTGGGGATGGGGTCAAAGCTAAGGGTTGGGATGGTGGGAAGAGGGCTAAGAGGCAGAAAAGGGGTTTGGGGAAAGGAAGGAGGCAGGAATGAAGAAGGTTGAGGTGAGTGCTAAAATGTAGAAAGGGAAGGATTTTAGAACTAGAGGGAGGGGAACTAACTTGCCCTCAGGAGGACGGACCATCAGCATTCTAAGAGAGGGTAGAGGCATATGCATTCCCCATCAGAGCAAATCCCCCTACTCTTCAGAGTTAGATATGTCACTTCTCTTAGATAATCCAGTAGCATTTTGGGATTGTGTAAGATACTTCTGAAAGTGAAGGTATACTTGGCTGGCAAACCTAGCCTAACTTCTTCTCTTGTAATCCTTTCAAAGGGAGACTGTAGCTACTAACTCCAGTTTCTCCCAGAGCTTTGCAGTCACCCCACTCCTGGCCAACTGCCAGAAACAAGGCCTGGCACTGGATGGCAAATTCAAGCATGAAGATACCAATCTGACCTCTAGCACAATGTAAGATCAAGTGTAACTTCCAACCTCCATTTCCTACCTCTAACTTGTTCCATATACTATATATAGTTTCATTTTCAGTGAAGCCTACTTACTTTTTAAATATCTCTTGGCCAATGTTCAGACCCCTTCCAGGCCTGAGAGCCAACAGGAAGCTAAATGATGCCTATGGGACCAATGGTAGCCTTTGGCCATAGGCAGAAAGAAAGGAAAATGTGTAGGATAAAATCTTTATGTATAATTCACAGTTCACAGAGGCCTTACATATGTGCTATGTTATCTCATCAGAATCCCATTAAAGTAGGCTGGACAGGTACTCTTATTCCATTTTACACTTAAGGACCCTGGGACTCAGAGAAGGAACTTGTCCAAGGTTGTACAAATAACAGAGGTAGACAGGATTCTCTTATATGTCATCTGGCTCTAAACACGGATCTCTACAGCAGCTATTCTCCAGAGACTATAGTGTGAAAGACTAGGGAATGAGAAATGTAGGAAAAGGAGGATAAAAGGGACAATGATATGAAGGAACTGATAGAATTCTGTGATGTCTTTAATTTGGTCTTATGTCTTCAGAGGCCCTAGTGTTAAATGTGTCCTCCACCAAAAGCCATCTGCCATCTGAAAAGCATAAATTCATTGACCTCACTCTATGCCTTATCAACCAAGTAGCTATAGACTGTTATTGCTAGAAATACCTTTAGAAATCATCCAAATAGCATTATTTTACAGGTAGGGTATCAGCAGCCCAGAGGAATAAATAGACTTTCCCACAATCATACAGCTTTCAGTGTCTTATTTTTCCATCAGCAGGTTTTTATTGATCCCTATTAAATGGCCATTCCTATGCATAGCAATGTGTGGGATACAAAAAATGTTTAAGATAGTCTCTGCCTGGGCCAGGGATTTAGCTCAGCGGTGCCATCAGCTAACTGCCTCTCAAGTGCAAGGTCCCAAGTTTGATCCCTGGTACCGAAAAAAAAAAAAAAGATAGTCTCTGCCTTTAGTTAATGTATGGGCTAGATGAAGAACAAATAATAAAAGTGCAATCTAACAGTTAAATGTTAGTACATGTAGCTCAGATTATGAGTCCAACAGAAGTTAAAAGAAGCCAACATAATTGGCAATGCCTTCCTAGAAGAGGTAGAATGAGCTAGATCTTCAGAATGTGCAAGATCTGGATACCAGCGGAGGAAGAAATGAACATTCCAGACTGGGAACGTAGCATGTGCCCAGGCTAGAAGGTGAAAATCTACAGGACATTTTCAGACCATAGAAGGAGGACAGGTCTGCCTATGTTGTATCCCAGGTGATAGGGGAGTTAGGGCAGAGAAGGTTGGAAAGAGTAGATGAGGACAGATTGTTTGGGTCTTGAAAGTCAAGCAGAATAGTTTTATTCAATAAGGTAGGCTCTTCAACAGAGAATAATATGGTAAAACTGAATTTTAGGAAGAGAAATGTGGTCCCAATAGGTAGGAGAGATTACATCTTGGGAGATCTTCTGAGAGCAGATATAAAGTGATAGACTGTGGTGATGAGAATGAACAGGAAGGAAGTAGAGAACTAAATGAATTACTTCTCCCAAACACAAAAATGGATACTACAATTTCTAGTCTTCGACCTGGAATGAACAAGGAGCTGCTGGGGATCCCGGTGTCCTACAAAGTCAGAGTCAACCTGATGGTGTCTGGAGGGTAAGTGAGGGTTGGAGGTCTGTCTGGGCAGGGCTAGGGAGCCAAGAGTTTTCTATTGTTTTTTTCCCACCACTTGGACTTACCCAATCAAGCTGTTCCCCTTCTCTCAAACTAAGTTCCCAAACGTGTAAGCTCAGTGAGCAAGTCACTTTCTTTCCAGAAACTGATTCTGTGACTAAGTTGACCTTATTTATGATCCTTTATCTCCCAGTAAAATTAGGTTGCCTCTTGCTCATTTTTTCAGCTGCTAATTTTGGGTATTATTCTACCCACAGCATCCTAGGAGATCTGATAGCCAGGTGAGAGGCTATGCGGTGAGAGGATGGACAGAATGGGGAGGATGAGGGGATAAGGAAACCGAAAGAGTGACTAGTCAAGCCCCATGTGGTGGCACACACCTGTAATCTCATCTACTAGGGAGGCTGGGGCAGGAGGACCACAAATGTGAGGCCTGCCAGGGAAACTCATCAAGAATCTGTCTCAAAGGGGGAGGGGGATGTAACTCAGTGGTGGAGTGCTTGCCCAGCATGTATAAAGTACTGGGTTCAATCTCCAGTACCACACTAGTGTGGGAGGGGGTTGGGATATAGCTCCATGGAAGAACACTTGCCTAGAATGCACAAAGTCCTGAGTTTGACCCTGAGTATCACAAAAATAAATTAATTAAAAACAGCAGCTAGGAAGTCTGAAGGCATCCTACAACTGGAAAACTAAGGGAGGATGGTTCAGTGACTGGGCTTGTAGTGATATCAGTAAATCCACTTTGGGAATCCTTGCAGTGATGTTGGTGTTGAGCTGTCCCTGATCCTGATCCACCCAAGGCCATCTCATGGTGAGTGACCAAGCAGGGCTTACAGGAACAGTTGTGTCCAGGTTTGGAGGCCGAGAGGTTCTGATCTTATGTCTTGAAGACTAGCAGTTTGGGTAGAGATGGAATGTCAATAAGCAGGTTGGGTGTATGTGTTTTCTGGGGAAGTTTGTGCAGGAGGGGAAGAACTCAAAATGGAGGGGAAAGAATAAAAACATTTCTTCAGAGAACTGAAGAACTCATCAGCTTCAGCTCCATTTCTTTCTCCCTCCCCATGCCTGCTACAGAGGCTGCTAGGTAAGGGAATATGAGGCTTGGGAGCCCTCATTGCTACCCTCCATTTAATGACAATGGAAATGAAAAGGCTTCCCCACAGTGTTGCTTTCAATACATGTGCAGTAGAAACATATAGTTTGGCTTCCTGTCACAACTGAGTGCTTTTCATGTGCCCTCCTTTCCCTTTCTACACCTCCCACCCTCTACACCCTGCTCTTGTGGGAATCGTCCTTCCCCCTCATGCATTCTATTTCCCTTTTCCCTTCTGCCTGTCCACTTGCCCTTACTTTCTTCTTCCATTCTCCTATTCCTTCCTTCTGTGCCCCCACTCTGTTCTTACTTCTTTTCTAGCACTCCTAGGGGACTTTTGTGTTGGGAGAGTGGTGAGGGAAGCCAGTGTGGTCAATGTGTGTGGGGGGTGCTACTGAGAGGGGGTTTGGGGACTGAGCTGAGAAGCAGGGAGGGGATCTCTTCTCTGGGGTCAGGAAATGGTAGTGAATGGGGCTCCTAAGCCCCCATTCTCCTCTGCTGAAAGCTCTGAGGACATAGTCATAGAGGAGTTTACTAGGCAGGAACAAGGCGGAGCCGAGACCCAGAAGGCTTTGGCTGCGGAGGGAGATGAGGAGAGCTGAGCACCTAGATCTGACGCTCCTCTGTGTGGGAGCCCCACTGTAATGCTCTAATAAATCCTTTGGTCCAGACGTGCCTATCACTGTCCTTGCTATTTCCTCCTCGTGAAGAGTACTGAGAATGATCCTTCCCTTCCAACTCCCCTCTCCTTACTCCCGTGATTGTACTATCCTTAGCACATACTTTTCCCCTCTGTGGCCTCAGACTTCTCTCTGGCATTGTAGCCCGCCTTCCCTCCATGGATCCTTCAGTCTTCTCTCTGGCTGTGGCCATCCTCATCCCCACCCCATCATCCTACTCTTCGGATCACCCTACTGCTGTAGGTTGTGGCGCTGCAAGAGCCTGGGAGTAAGCTGAGAGGACAGGGCCGCGCCTAGACCTGGGTCCATCCTCACTGCCATTGGGGAGACAGCAGGTGGCAAAGGGCCAAATGGGGGAAGCCAGTTTTGCTCCCCACCCCCACCTGCTGCAATGTATGCTTTTGGACCCTGTGAGACCGGAAGCAGAGACTGGAGGTTTTGGCCTGGAGACCAACATGAAATACAAATACCAGGCTCTGTGCCAATCCAAATCAATATTCTGGGAGAGCAGAGCAGCCAGTGCTGGTCTGGGTTGGGCTTTGGAGATGGGAAGGTTGAATGGTATGAAGTGGGATGGGAGCTTCTCCTGGAAATGGAGTTCCTCCTCTTTGGGAGTTTGGAGTATGTGTGTGTTGGAGGTAGGGGTTCATGGAGACTGATGGGGAGAAAGGGCAATGGTTGGGCTATTTAACTCCCTCTCCTACAATGCCGAAGACATCCATCCTCATCTGCTTCATGAAGGAAAGATTGGACTGTTTCTTTGGCCAACTCACTTGGAGTGCTTTTCCTGTTATCCGTTGGAAGGGCTGGTAAGTTGAGCCAGGACAACCTCCTTAAGGGGCATTCTCTACTTGTGGTTCTAAGACTGCTTGGTATTGGGAATAGAGGAGGGGGGGGTCATGGAAAGTATGATTCTCTGTTGCAGGCAACTACTGGAATTAACTTCCAGTCTAAGACCATGCACTTAGTGGACCCAAAAGTGTTAAAAGTTCATACCATTAACTCTATTCCTTAACCCCTTCAGCTCATTAACAGGTTAGCATTTCCCCAAATTAGCCTCCCTCAAATTACCAAACCCTGTGATGATTCTTATTCTCTCTGCCCTTATTTATCTCCAACTGTAACATAAAGTTTAAGATGCTGTGAACCCTTAAATCTGCTGTTCTACAGGGTGTTTCCTTAATCACAATAGTATCTTGGGATTGGCTAGACCTGTCCTAGAACTTGGTTTGAGGCAACAGCAGCCACTTTTCAGATATCCAGTCTCCTCTTAGGTTCTAGTTTTTTTGTTTTGTGGTACTAGATTGAACCTAGGGCTTTTGCACTTGGCTACATCCCCAGATCTTCCTTTTTTAAAGACAGTCTCATTAAGTAGCCCAGGCTAAGCTTGAACTTGTGATCCTCCTGTCAACCTCCCATAGGGCTGGGATTCCAGCTATGCAGCATCCTAGTGCTGGGATTAAAGAGTTAGGTACTAGCTCTTAAAAAGCTAGTTTCTTTTCCATTTTTGCCATCTTCCTCCTAAATATTTGTTTTATACAGGTTCAGCTGCAGTTATGTGATGGCTGGCCAGGAATGCTTTTGCAGCCTAATTCTACAGCTTAATTTGTAGCCTAGCTGTATTTGCAATTCAACTATTGCAGTGGTTGTCTATGATAACACAAGTGAGTTACAGGATTTTGACAAAGAGGTTACGAAGGAAGCAATAGAGAGGTTGGTAAGACTAGTAAAGACAGGTACATTATTCTCTCCAAACTTCTACGAAGTGTTTCAACTCTGCAACATATTTTCTTGCAGACATTTCTTTCAAGGAGATGGTAAGTGGGTAGCTGTGTGGTAGGAAAGAGGCTACAATGTTGTCATTATGTTAGTGGGTAAGGAGACTGATCTGAACAACAAAAGGTCAGTGTAAGCACAATTTCTTCTGGCACACTTCAAATTCAAACTCTACAGGGAAGGCCCACAAATGCTATTTACTTGGAGAGAGTTATCAGTGTCAGAGAGCAGAAAGGTCATGGGTTTAAGGATTCAAGGGTTCCTGGCCATAGGGAAGCATCATTACACTTCACAAGGATCTACCCTTATCCATTAATTCTAGGTTACCACTTTCTGGGCCCTTCCATTGTTTCTCATTTGTCCAGACAAGTCTGCAGAACTATCTTCTGCTTAACTGATGATGGAAAAGGTCTTGAATAATGTTTATATTATTGGCTGAAAAGACTGTGTTGAGAAGGAAAGCCACTCAGTAAGTGCTTAAAAGCAAATGGACAGCACCACTGTCTTTTCCAGAGGATCATCTCTGGTTTTCTAAAAATCAGGATGTGAAATACAGAAATTTTTCCTTAAAAAAAAAAGAGCATATGAGACATCAGTATCATTTACCGAGAACCAAAACTGGTTACAATGTGAAAAATATAATAATACTCATTTCCTTTTAGAATATTTCCATTGTACTGTCTCTACTACCCACCACCACTTTCTTTTGGATAACTTCCCATTGTCCTATTGCAGGGTGGGGGGCAAGGTTCATCTTCCCACCATGCACCACAAAGGTCTGAAATTAGCCTGAAATTTTCATTTGCTTGTCACCATTCACACGTGCATAGCTATCTCTGGTACATGGTTTCTGCCCTTTTTTCCAGAAGTAACTTCACCTCTGGTGAAAGAAGGGAGTGTCCTTCTTCCCAGCTTTGCTGGGGTAGGGAACACACAAGCAGAGAAGGCAAACTTCCTTTGCTGAGTTGATGGCCAGGCTAATTTTTCTGCTTCTGTGGAACTTAAGGGATAAAGGGAATAACTTAGCCCAAAGTAGCTCCTTGGTTTGCCTTTAGGTGATGGGGATCAGTCAGAATTCCTCATGCTTTTGCTAGAAATTGTCCTTGGGAGTTGAGAGTTGACTGTAGTTATCTCATTCTATTACCTTCCATAACATATACTTCAGCGGTTAACATCTACCTGGAGCCTTTTAAGTATTCAGGCATCAAAACTATTGTTTCTATCAATAGCTTGGGCCATCTCTGCCTAATCTGATAGATTTATGTCATTTGGACTTTCCTTACAGCCTTATCCCCACCCTCAGGTATAGGGTTTACGTAGCTGGCCACTTACCCTCTTCTAGCTCCTAGGCATAGGAGTATACAGAACCCCCGAAAGTGCTACCAATTTTCTAGACTGCATCTCACAGCTTCTTGCAGTGCCTGGGAATTCTACCTTTCTTTCTCAAACAGCTGAAAGACATCTACAGGAAGTGCAGTTCTACAGTAGCTGGGATAATCTCAAAGGCCAATACAATTCATTCTCCACCATTTCCTTACATTCACCCTCAATAACTGCTCCTTTAGCCTCAGCCTGTTATTCTTACACTCTCCTGACACTGTATCTATACTTCCACAATGCAACTGCCTCATGCTGGTGTCCCAACACAGAAACATTTCAAGACCTCAAAGCGAGATCCTTCCCCCTCTTTTTATCATGTTTACCACACTTCTTAGATGAGTTTTTTTAATCTCTTAATCACAGCGTGAGTCTCGGACCTCAACATGGCCACCTCAGCCAATATATTTTTGTGGGAGTATCTAAACCTCTATTTTCTTTCTCAGATGGCCACTAGGGGTCAGCAGAGCAAATAGGCCCAGCATAGAATAAAAGATTTCCCAAGAAACAGAGACAGAAATTTACTTGCAGCTCTGTTGGCAAGGGACAGCGCCCGCCTAGCACTGTTACGGAGCCTCTAGAAGGAGTATTTCAGAAGAGCTGGGGTGGTATATATGGGAAGAGTCAGAGTTTCCTTATAGATATATCAGTATTTTCAACAGTGTTTCCCAGTGTTCAAAAAGACTTACCTTGCTTATTTAAAAAATCAGATTTCCACATTCTATCTTAGACCAACAGAATCACTCTCCAGGGGAAGAAATTATAAATATTCTTAAATTATCTTACATTCTTAAGCTCCACAGAATCCTTTCGAGGCAAATTTGAAGCTTTCATCACAGGGCACTTCATTCCTACTGCTATCAATAGATTGGTAACTAGATATCTAACAACATGGCAGAAAGTTCTTTGGGGTGGGGGTGGGAAAAAAGAGCAAAGTTGGTAGTTAGCCAATCTACAAGTTAGAAATTGGACACAATTTCTTATTGCTGCCTCTGAAAAGAAGTGCATCCAACCCTTGGTCTAAGTTCCAGATCAAAGAATCTAGCAAGGAAGAATTATATTAATTCTGTCCCCTCCAGACAATGTCCAAAGCTCCTAGGGGAAGAGTTACTGTTTTTTCCAGTACCCTTCACCCTATGCCATTCTTTGGTTACATTGTATATAGCTAGGGTTCTGTGGCCCCTCTAATGTTCTGGCCAGGCATAGAGGTTGCAGTTTCTTCCACTGATTTCTGTTAGAAGAGCTTTTTTTTTGTCTCAAGAGCATCTTATGTCCAATCATTATCATTCAAAAGTCACAACATTTATTCAGTATTGTGTTTAACTTTTGAGGGGCAAGGATGGAGAACAGGCAAATAGTGTCTCATTGGAGTCCCCAAAGTGTATATGAGAGTTCCAGTAGTATAAGGATGGGATGAGATGGCCAGGAAAATCAAATAGAAGATTCTTTTTTTCTACTGATTTTTGTAATCAAAATGTTAACATGTGTAAGCACCTAGCCTATGGCATCCAGTAAATGTGTTATCTTTTCTAGCTGGGTTCTCTACAGGCTAGGCTTATCCTAGACTTCACCATCCTTCTTTCATGGAATGAAGCTCATCGAGAAAACCAGGGAACTAAAAATACAGTACAGTTTGGGCAATGCAGTTGGCTGTATGTCTCTGCATCCACCCCACCCAATGTGTCAGGAAGGGGCTGAGGAAAGAATTTCCTAAGTGGCTTCCCTGGGGCCCAGTCAGCTTGGGCTGCAACTGTCTAGTGAGCTGCAACTCTCTAGTGCACAGTCCTCTCTTTTTGGCGATGATAATCTGGGGGGAAGAAAAAAGAAAAGAAGGAACAGAACAGGTTATTTTCACGCCTGAGCTCCCAATTTCCCATTCCTAACTTCTGCAGCTTCTAGTCATCAGTAATAGGGGCCTGTCAAGTAAAAAAGTGGCACTTACTGTAGGGAAAGAAGCGCACACGCATGCTGATTTCACGGGCTGTCTTCAGGATCTCAACAGCCTGGAAGAAACATAACAGCTTGTACAAATGAAGAGATGTAACCCATAGCAAAATCACAACAGGTGGAATGAGATTTGACACTCCAACCCTCTGGGTCACTAATAGCCACTTCCTTCTGGTTCATTTCTCAAGGAGAGATGCTTTTATATCAAATTACAGATTAGGCTAACTTTATCCAACATGTCCAACCCATCCAACTGGGATGGCTTCTTGCATCACCACAGCCCAAGTGCTGTGCTCACCTTGCTGTGCTCAATATCTTGGAAATCCACATCATTCACAGCCAGAACTTGGTCCCCTTCTTGAAGTCCTGCTCGATGTGCATCAGAGTCAGGAATCACCTGGGTGGGGTAATTTCAGAAGGTGAAGTTCAAATATAAGGTGCTATTGTTTTTTCTGTGACAATGCAGGGAGACACATGACTTGCTTGCCAAATGGAAAGTTTTGAATAAGAAAGGGGGTGTTACCATGTATGCCTATTCTGAGTCTATCAACTCACCATTCTCTGGGCTCTTGGGATATCAGGGTGCTACAATCTAATAACAAAGGGAAGTAGCTATTCCTATTGCATACCAGGTGTACACACCTTGGAGATGAAGATGCCTAGCTGGGAAGCCTTTCCTCCTCGGATGTTAAATCCCAACTGTAAGACAAGAGCACAGAATTGGAGCTCAAGATACACCAAAAACACAAGCACGGTGAGTAGCAGCATTGTATAACAGCTCAGGTGGTGTGTTCCTGAGGGAAATGAGAATTTGTGGAAGTGGTGTTTTCCAACCCATCCCATCAAACGACCAAGTTCTGGTATGGACAGATCTAGCCTAGAATTAGAGGCTCTCTATAAGCTTACCTGAGCTCCAGGAGGCTTCTTCAGTGTGACAATTCGGGGCAGAAACTGGGTCAACTCATTGTTGTAGTCTGGGTGGTATACTCTCTGCAAGGCAGCAACCCCAGAAATCTTACTACCAGTATTAGATGTCACACTTACCTTTTCTGGAAAACTAATGCATCATCCCGAAATCAGGAAAAGATCACAGACTTAATTTAGGTAGAATAAGTAACACTGTCCCAATAAGTAGATGTTTAGCATGAGGACATACCAGCAACCCAGTGGCTCCCCACTTTTCACATTTTGACAAAATGAAATGTAGAATTCCAGAATTCACTGGTGTAAATGGATCCTGACAGAAGCCTTCCACAAGACATTCCCAATGTTCGCCTGTTGCTCAAAATTCATCTTCTGTGTCTTTTGGCTAAAACAAGGGCTGAGATTCACTCTCCATTTAACTTTCTAACCCTGTCATCCTACTTTTCATGCATCATCTCATGCCCAGGGGAAAAAATTCCCTTCTTGGGAATACAGATGGTTCCCACCTCATGAGGAGGAATCCATGCTGGGGGATTCTCATAGGCAGGCAGGAAAACCACTGGGTAGTCATCATAAGGAATCCGGCTGTCCATCTTGGGCAAGGTCCTGGAAAGAAAGGGTGACTTGAAGTAAAAATGATTCAAAAGGGAGGGTAGTATACCAAGTTTCAGAAAGCAGTTCCAAAGCATCCAAGGCTGTCAGTCGACATTTAGGCACTAAGCTTGAAAGAGGAACTGGGCGTGGTAATGCACCATAATCCCAGTACTCTGGGAGGATGAGGGAGAAGAATCACAAGTCAGGGGCTAGCCTGGGCAACTTAGAGCGACCCTGTTTCCAAAATTAAAAAGGGTAGGGGATTAGCTCAGTGGTAAAGAGACCCTGGGTTCAATCTCCAGCTCGGGGTGGAGGGTGTAGATTAGAGAAGGACAAAAGAGATGAGAAAAACCTAAATATATGGATGCAAAGCAACTTGCTAGAGTACCACCCTAAAAACATGATCTCAATTATTGCAAAAATCCTGTAGAACAGATGTTACCGTCTCCATCCTAGAGAAAAGGAAAACAAAATCGTGTCTAAAAATATCTATTTTCTAAGTTTAAGGAAGTGCTAACCCCAGCTATCCACAATCACCCTATAATCTCTAGGGGTAATAAGTAATGATGGAGTCACCACATCCGCTCTTCCTTAACCACTGAGCCACCTTTAGATCCTCCTCCCACACTGCCAGAGTCTAGCGCTCACTACTGCGTAAACGTCTCACCACACCAGCAGCCAAGCCTCAGCAGCTCCAAAATAAAGACCCTGCCAATTCAGCCTGGGAACCGGAACCGGATGCCGGCTAACATCAAATAGGGGCGGGGCCGGGCTGCGTTGAGATTGCCCGCCCCTTCCTAACGCGTCATCCCGCGAGCGCCGACAAGCGTGCTCCGCCCGCAGGCTGTCTGCGCTTCGATTGGCTGGCGCCTCTGGGGCTGATTTGAAACTTGGCGGTTAAAGTTCCGTTTGGGATCCGGCGTCAGGAGAACGGGAAAGACCGCGGGAAAGGACGTTTAGTTTGGTGAGTTACGGGGCCACACCTTAGCTCAGATTTTGCCTTTCCCATACCTTGGGGCTTTAGGTTTTTTGGTTGCTGTTTTTGTTCGGTTTTTTTTCCTCTTCATTTCAGATGCCTACTTACTCTTGAGAAAGTCGGGCTGACCGGCCTATCCGTCGTGGCCAGATCAGAGAGAGTAACCTCCGGAGGCAGCGATTCCAATGCAGAGCGTTCTCCTATCCCTGCCAACTTACCAAGATCTTTTAGCAAACCTCTTCCCCGCTCTCCCCCGCAGAGACGGTTTTGCGCTAGGGTCATGAAGGAAGAGGTGAAAGGAATTCCTGTAAGAGTGGCACTACGTTGTCGCCCTCTAGTCCCTAAAGAGATCAGCGAGGGCTGCCAGATGTGCCTTTCCTTCGTGCCCGGAGAGCCTCAGGTGAGTAGCAGAATCCAGGACTTTTTCTCTGAATAGATGGGACTGAATTGCAGTGAAGGTCGTGGTCTAGCCTCTTTTCCCCTGATGCCTTGTCCCTTGCCTTCTGCAGGTGGTGGTCGGTAATGACAAATCCTTTACCTATGATTTTGTGTTTGACCCCTCTACTGAGCAGGAAGAAGTCTTCAATACAGCAGTAGCACCACTTATTAAAGGCATATTTAAAGGTGAGGCTATCTAATTTGCCGACGTTTCTTGAGCACGTACTTTGTGCCAGGCACAGTACTTGGGTTCTGCAAGTCCAGGAATGAGTGAAACATGATTCTTGCCTTCAAAAAGCCCACAGCTAACTGGCATGGTGGCATACTCCTATAATCTCAGCAGGCGGATCACTGAATATTTGAGGCCAGCCCGGGCTAAACTACACAGTGAGACCCTGTCTTAAAAAACCAAAACAAAACAAAACAAAACGCCTCCCAAAGTCCACAGCCTAATAACGGTTGTGAAACATAATAACATTTGTGAAACCTAATAACATTTGTGAAATACTCTACCCTTGAAGCTTGTTCATACTGTATTTTCTTTCTGTGGTTCTGTTAATCTTTTACTTGTACATATTTTTCTTTGTCCTGGAACCTCATTAGAGCTCTTTGATGGGTGCTGATGGTGATCAGTGTGCTAACCTGCTGGAGTTCCAGGCCTCAATATTCATTCTGTAGTATTTACTCAGGGATAAGTAATGTGGTTTTCAGACCTTGAAAGAATTCAAAGTCCAGGGGGTAGGAAGAGAGGTAGATGATACATAAATAATTTGGACTACATAAAAGTTTTAAAATTTGTTGCACCTATCTTTAAAAAAAAACATTTTAAAAGTTACAAATATACAATAGAATCAGTCCTGCTATGAAAGTAGCACAGTTTTCGTGCAAAGTGATATGAAAAACAAAAGGACATTAACTCTGTTTGGAGGATTTGGGATGAATTTCACAGAAAAGGGAACCTTTGAGATTGGTCTTGAGTGATGAGAATTCTTTTAGGTGGAGAAAGGGATTTCCTACAGCCCCTGAATACTATGACCAGTTAGGCTTTGATGTTGAATACCATAGCACTAGATAGTAGCCTGAAGATGTCTAATTGTTATCCTAGTACAGTGGTTATTCAAAATTCAAAACATTCATTTAAAAGAAGTAGAACAATAGCATACTAATGCTTTAAAGGTGAAAAATGCATTGTACCTAATCTGGTGTAACTGAAACAACTGGCAAAACTGGAATGGGATTTGAGGATTAGATGGTAGCAAGTAGCTATGCAAATTTCATTAGTATGATGGTTGTGCTGGATGTCATGCTTATAGTTTTAATAGTTACTACTTAATTAGCAAGTTATAACAATTGAGGTTTAGGTTGCAGTAAGCCCATCTATTGTCTAATTGTTTCTTTTTAAAACCTTGCTATGGATGTTAGCTGGGTTTATCTGCTTTTAATTTCAATCAGAACTTTTAATTCATAGGATGAAAGGAAAATGTTGAAGTAACTAGTAATCTGGGTTCTCTGATGAAACAGAATATAAACATTTTTACTAGAACTACACTGAAACAGAAATAGACTAGGTCTTTCTGCAAACAGACTGATTACATTGGTGATAACAGAAAGCATAGCTACTGTTCAGTAGTGAATTCCATTTATTTATTTATTTACTTATTTATTTTTTTGGTACCAGGGATCGAACTCGGGACCTTGCACTTTCGAGGCAGGCAGTGGAACCACTAAGCTAAATCCCCAGCCCATGAATTCCATTTAATAACTTAGAAAACACAAGCAGAAAAAAACAAAATATCACTTACTATACTAGGAGATAAACATCAAAATGTTAATAATGGATATCCTTTTGATCTTTTCATATGCATTTACTTAAACTTAACAGTTTTAACTTTTTGTCAGTTATTATCATGAACATCTTAAATAGATGATTTATCAATGCTCTATAAAAGTTAAGGATATATATCATGTTGAATCATACTTAAATAATGATTTTTCTGTGAGAAGCCAGATAATGTGGTTTGAGTACATTCTAAGTTCAGATAGGGAGTAGATACTTTTATAAATAGTAAAAAACAATGTTGCTGCCTTTTCAAATGAAGACTCTTAATCAAAGAAATACAAGCCAAAACTCCCTTCTATTTATATAGCTTCTAAGACTTTCTTTAAATTCCCATAATTTAAAATTGCTCAAGGTAGGCAGACAGAATTATGTCTCTGAAAGGCTTTTAACTGTGGTTTGATTGCTTTCATTATTTTAGTCATATCTAAGTATTTGCCTTTGTAGCTTAATTGAGAGGGCACAATCTGAGGTTGATATTCTTCTTTGCTTATTTTGAGTGGTATAAAGTCCTGGCATCCACAGAACTTTTCTTTGTGTCTGCTATTCCTAAGAAGTTCTGTCTTAGCCGGGCATAGTAGCACATGCCTGTAATCCCAGCCCTCACCCGTAATCCCAGCACTTGGGAGGCTGAGACAGGAAAATCTCTGCAAGTTCAGGACAACCTGGGCTACATAATGAGATCAAAGTCAGCCTGAACTACATAATGAGAGCGTCTCAAAAAAAACAGTCTGTCTTAAGGCTGCAATCTCACTTTTGTTACAAGTAATTGCTGAAGGAAATTGAGTATATTGGTTGAATGAAAATGTTTGAATGCTGCTATGCATATAACCTCTATTTTGCCAGGATATAATGCAACCGTCCTGGCCTATGGGCAGACTGGCTCTGGAAAAACTTATTCGATGGGAGGTGCATATTCTGCTGAGCAAGAGAATGAACCAACAGTTGGGGTCATTCCTAGGGTAATACAATTGCTCTTCAAAGAAATTGATAAAAAGAGTGACTTTGAATTTACTCTGAAAGTATCTTACTTGGAGGTAAGTGATTTATCTTTAATTATTCTTAATTCAAAATTATCTTTGGATAAAGAAATAAATCCAAATCAGATTTTTCCTGGCATGGTTCAGATTAGTAAATTGTATTTTTAGTAAGTAACATTTTAATAAATTGATAGAGAAAACTTACTGGCTCAGTTAGATCTGACTCCCACTTTGTTCTTATTAAGATAGTCTTTAATAATTGATTATTAGAGGAGTTCACATTGCCATATTAAAAATGATAAAAATTCTTTAATTCTAGTTTGGCCTCTATTACTGATTCCCTGTAGAGTGTGCAGAAAAGTATTTGATTTTCCTTCACTTTTGAGACAAGTTATAATGCACCTTAACACTGAGCTATGTAAGTGGTAGTAGAATGTGTTTATTTACTATGTGCCAGACACTGTTTTAGGCACTTGGGTATATCACATACTTGAAAGATATCAGTAAACAAAGCAGATAAAAACAGCTGCCCTTATAGGAGTTTGCATTCTAGTATATATCAGCATACAAGTAGATTGGTCGATTATATCTAACCTTATGATACCAAAAAGACATTTAATTTAAGCATGCAATTTTAAATTTAAGTGAATACTTCATCCTAAAGTTGAATCTCAGTATGTTAAGAGGCATAGGAGATACAGAGTTAGAAGAAAGGGAGTTAGACATCACTAAGATTACCCTTCTTGAGCTTAGATTACCCCAGTTGTGACCAAGATAATTGAATGTAAAAATAACTTTGGTACCTGGTATGTTAAATAATGGCATCGGCAATAATATCAATCAAATAATCATGCTTGCTATTTGTTAAACTTTGTTCTAAGTACTTAAAATTCTGCTTGCTGTTGAAATACTAGTTGCTACTTTTCCTTTTTGTTTCCTTTGCTCTCTACCTCCAACTTTCCCTTCCCCAAGGACCCATTGTTTACATTTTAACAAAGTATGTGAAGCTGATGCTGTTATGAAACTATCAAAGAACTGAATTTGGGCATTCATATAATTTTACATTTGTCTGCTTTTCCTAAGAGACTGTATTAGGAGGGCAGTCTCAGCTTTGGGGATATAGTTCAGTGGTAGAGCACTTACCTGGCATGTGTGGGTTCTGAGTTCCCATCCCTAGCACCCAAAAAGTAGGAGGGAGAAGAAGAGGGTACAGTTTCAATTTTCTTACAAGTAAATTTGTGAATTCATTTTTATAAAGTATCAAATGGTTACTTATAAGGTTAAATTCCTTTTTTTGTGGTGCTGGGGATTAAACCCAGGGCGTCATGCATGCTAGGTAAGTGACCTATCACTGAACTACATCCTCAGCCCCTCAAAGTCCTTTGCTTAATTCTAAAATATAATACGTGCTTATTGTAACCAAATTTTAAATATAGAAAGTTGCAGTGTATTTTAAAAGTTACCTATGACCCCACTGTTCAGAGATTACCACTGTTAACATCTTGTTTTTGCCACTTCATTTTCAACAATATCAGATTTACAATGAAGA